ACATTATAAAAAAAGAATTTTAATAGAAACAGCTACAAAACTATATATTCAACATACAAAATTGTATACACTGCCAAATAAAATACAAATCTTAACCTAACACAGGGGTGCCCATCCCCCCCTAGACTCATGACGCACCCCCCCCCCCCCCAATTGAGAAACAGCCCCCCCCCCACCATAAATGATGTACACAACAAATGAGAAACATTATTTCCCCGCCCAGCACTATTTGTAAAACTATAAAAGAAGTTTTATAAATTTTATTAGATATTTAAAATTCAAACCAATCTATATAAATAAAGTTATAGTTTTGTCTGTACATTGCTCAGAATTATACATATTTTGGGTTATTTTTACGTTTTATACATTGAAGAAGTTGAAACATGTCTTATCTCAAATTGTGTCCGTCTGTCACGGCCCAGAAGGCATTTTACGCAGCTTACAAAGAAAACTAGAGTACCGATTATGATTATAATGGTTTAATTGTATCCACAGGATTGGCGAGAGTGTCCTTATAGCCATTAAAATATGGCCTCATCATTTTTTAAATAAAATAACGGACGTTCAAAAACCCAATTTTGTGTGATTTTTCTAGTTTATTTTCTCCATGTTTACTACATACGTCATTTATGAAATACTAATAATCTGTTAAGAGAAGACGTCATATATGAAATTACGACATAATGGGACTAAACATGATGCGGGAAAATCACTCCTCTGTAAATTTTTGTGCATCTAGACCTGTTAGCCAAAACGGCCATAGAGGCCCAAATAATGTAGGTGTAGGCCTAGGACTTTTTAACTTTTGTATATTGTTACTTAATGTACAGTGCCTTTCCACTGCTCGAATTTTAGACCTTGAAATGACACTTGCTCTGAATGATTATAAACTGCTTTGTCTCTCAGAACATTGGCAGTCCGATGAACTTATAAAGTGTACAAACATAAGTGGCTTCTGCCTTATTTGGTAATGCTAACCAAAAATTTAACCAGTTTTTAAATACTTTTCTAATGTTGGTTAACGAGTGGTTTCCCAAAAAACCCCTCCGGCCCCGTAAGAATCTAAAAAACTCCATCCAGCCCTATACAGACAATCCCACTTTACTAACCTTAAGAAAGTGGAAACTTTTAACCTATGATATGTACAAGGTATCCAAAACTCCTGAAGCTAAAGCAAGATATCTGCGAGTCAAGAATGAATACCAAGAAAGCCTTAAGCTTGCCAGATTTGAAAGTAATGTCAAATTCATTGAATCTGCACAAAATCCTTGTTCTGCAGCTTGGACGGTTATAAAGAGAGAAGTGGTTCCAACAAAACCTTTACAGCTGACCAACCTAACACCCAGTGAGTTCAACGAATTTTTTGTGAACTCGGTCCAACAGACCCGTGACGCTATTGGAATCCCCCCTACCTCTGGCCTAGAACTACTGGGAAAACATCCTCCACCTACTAGTACCTTTCACATGTCCCCAGTTTCATGTGATAAAGTCATATCTGTAGTGCAAGGGTTAAAGAATTCTTCTAGCAGAGACATATATGATATCTCTACTAGTTTTGTGAAACAGATCATTTTCTCTATAGTTAGCCCATTAACTTACTGTATCAATTGTTGTATTTTAGAAGGTATTTTCCCTGATGTTTTAAAAATTGCCAGGGTTGTGCCTATTCACAAGAAAGGCAATCCCAACCTGCCAGAGAATTTTAGACCAATTTCTATTCTGCCATCTTTTTCTAAGATCCTTGAGTTTATTATTAAAGAACAGCTCTCTCTGTATTTTGAAGCAAATAATCTGTTCTCAGCTGCCCAGTTTGGTTTCAGGCCTCACCGCAGCACTACTGATGCGGTTGACAAGTTAATAAAGGCAGCTTTTCAGTCTTTTGAGGATGGGGGCTTTGCTGGGGCCACTCTTTGTGACCTCAGCAAGGCCTTTGACATGGTGGATCATGACACCCTCCTGGGAAAGTTAAATTTCTATGGGGTTAAGGGGAAACTTTTTGAACTGTTTGAGTCATACCTGACTGGACGTGGGCAGCTGGTTTGTATAAATGGCAGACAATCCAGTGTACAGCAATTGACCCATGGTGTACCTCAGGGCTCAATTCTTGGTCCCTTACTCTTCAATGTCATGCTTAATGATCTCGCTTTGTGTTTGGGGCAAGGTGTCATCTGTTACGCAGATGATACTACACTCTTTGAAACTAGTAATGAACTGGGAGATCTTGAGGAAGCCATGAAACGATCTCTTGAGGGGGCATCGGCCTGGTTCCGAGCAAATCACTTTTTTCTAAATGAGACAAAGACTAAGTCAATAATCTTTAGCCTAAGAAACTTAGAACATAGTGTGAAATCTGTCAAACTTCTAGGCTTACATCTCGATAATAAAGTAGACTGGAATGACCAGATTAGCCATGTTTGTGCTAGACTTTCCAGAGCTCTGTGTCTACTCAGAAGACTGAGATATTTTGTACCAAAGGACTGGCTGAAAACTGCTTATATTGCTTTCTTTCAGAGTATTTTATTGTATGGCCTAAGGCTCTGGGGTGCCGCCTCTGGGGTCAAGAGAGTTCTGCGCTATCAAAAGAAAGCAGTTAGAGTAGTAGCTGGTGCTGATTACTTGGACCATTGCAAACCCTTATTTGTAGCTGAGAACTTAATGACAGTTTGTAACCTCTATATTTTTCAGTCCTTGATCAAAATCAAGAAGGAATGGGATTCTCTTGAGCTGAGAGGCGACATCCATCCCTATAATACACGTAGGAAAAATGATATCAATTTACCACATGTTAGATTAAGTAAAGTTCAGATGTCGAATGAGATTCTAAGTTATAAGTTTTTTAATAAACTTCCTTTTGCAGCTCGGAACCTGCCGGACCCAAAATTTAGAAAAGGTGTTGAGGGGCTCCTTTTGGCAAACCCTTTGTACAAAAACAGAGAATTTTTTGATTTGAAAGAAGAACTTGTAAGTAGTTTTTTTTAGTTTTTCAACCGAGTGCTGTGTGCTGTTTTTTTTTTTTTTTTTTCTTCTCTTTGCATGGAGAGTTTCAGGAATGTAATTCTTTATATTGGTAAGAAACCTTGTACCATTGTCTTATTTTAGTTTTTATTCTTTTTTAGCTATAGTTGACTGACGTTTTCCAGCAATGTAACCACATTTTATGGAAATAAAAATTCTTGATTCTTGATTCTTGATTCTTGATACGAACAGCTGTTTTGATAAAGATTCCTTTTTCTAGCTGTCACTGATATGTTTACATCAATGTTGTTTACGAATACTGTATAGGCCCTAACCATTTCCGATCACGTTTGTAAGCAAAACCAAAACCAAGTGAGATTAATAACCGTGTGGCTTTGGCTTACATAACGGGTTTGATTTGTCACGGGTTGGGTACTAATATGTAACTGTAAATTAAATTAAATAACTAGCCATCATCCAGGTCGGGAACCGGAGATTCGTGTGTATCAAGTTGTACTTGTATTTTGATTACCAGGAAAAGACCGTGAATCAGTGTTGTACAGGACTGGAAAACTTATCTTTCTATATAAATAAAATTAGAGTTTTATAAGTCACCTCAATTTAAAGATTTTTTTATTGCCAGAATATCCATATAGCGTTCGTAACCTCTGCTTAACGAATTGTCAGCGTCTTCCTCTTGATATAACGATCCCCTCTCCCTCCCTTTAGAAACATCACAGCTCCTTTGATGAAAATGAAATGGAAACAACGCTTGCGCCAACAATCGTCTGCTCCGTTTTACGCTTCTGTCTGCTGTGCGCTACAACGTGTTATATAGTTCGATGGTCACAACAGATTTCAGATACTGTACAACAGCTGTGGAATGATGACAATATAATGCTTAGTAAACTGTGATTGAGTGATCAGTAACCATGGTAACTTTAGTAAGGCTGTGATTGGCCAATGAGTTAGTAGGCCTAAATATGGCGACTTGTTTAATTTGTGTATGAATTGAAGAGAAACCTATTAAAGAACAGAAGAACAAAGAAAAAGAATAACAAGATTGTTCTCGTTACATTCTTTTTTAAGAGTGTTTTAGTTATCTCGAAATATAATTTTACACTTTTTTTATCAGACCTACTTATCTATCAATTCTTATGCTGTGATACAGCACCTTGGTAGCCTATATGTCCATCATGAGCAGTACCTTATAACACTTTTTAAAGGTTCCTTTAATATTTACGTTATTTATAGCAATGCAGTGTTTGGCTAGATATTAGTTGAGTTTGAGTTAGCTATAATTTTAAACGTTGCCGTTTGTACAACTGAACCAAGATAAATGATTTGAAAAATTTTAAAATAATAATGTTATTGCACAATAATAATGATTGTGCAATATTGAATTTCGTTTATAAGAATGCAAATCGTAACGTTAATGGCTGTTTACAGCGTTTTAATGGGTTTGTCATCATTCTGTTTTTATACTATAGGCTATTGGATTAACCGTATTTTTCATTACTCCCCCTCCCTATTAACTCAGGTAATCGAGTATCTACACAATAGTGCAAAGTATTATAGCCTATGCTACTTGATTGTATTTGAACTAGCTTTATGTCAACAAATAAGCGTTCTGGGCTAAGTCGCGGTGTAGCTGGACGACTGAGGGACGTGTCTGTACATGCGTTATCTTTTATCTATCACATCAGTTGAGCCATCCCGTGCGCTCCCTCTTAGATCTCACGTCTTGCTAATCTTGAATAATAACTTTCTACACGAATCCTAAACTATCCTAAAATCCTATTTTAACTAATTGAATTCAATAATATAGCTATTGTCATTAATTAATCCACTTTCTATATGGCGACTTCGTAATATATTTTGGATTGTCGTCACGTTGAACACTGTTGCAATTAGCTTTAGCCACCCCCCCCCCTTTGGAATTTTTGAGCCCCCCCCAAGAATTTCAATGACGCAGTCTGCGTCACAGCCCCCCCTTGTGGGCACCCCTGCCTAACATTACTATATACAATATTTATAAAGTAAATACTAACCACATAAAAAAATAATACATTAACATATGAATTGTCCTGAAGTCACAATTCATTCAAGTTTGTCATAAACTAATGGAACAGAAATTGATAGCTCAAATACGAGTGGTTACAATATTACAATAGTAAATCACTTCAAATTGTTACAATATTACCAAAGTAAATCACTTCATGTACTAAATATACTTATAATTATAATAAAAGTCAAGAACACATTAGGTTTCATATTATGATTTATTCAGCCATGTAGTTTGTGTTGGTTTAGCTGTCATCGTCTATGATCCAAAGCATATTCACTCCCGATCTTCCTAAATTGATGCGGCCTAGGATTCCATGATCTTTGGTGTTCACAGTGTGAAGAAACAGCAATATCGTGAAGAACAGATTGTTTCTTCCCTGGAAAATTAATTTTGGTTTGAGTAGACTTAAAAAGAAACTAGGAGGATTGTTCTTGAATTTTAAAACATTTCGACAAATCTCAGCTGTTGAGCCATTGTTTTAAAGGTAGGATCAGGGGATAGATTTCTTCCCATAAAACCGTGTGTTGCTTTACCAGTGCTTCAAAATGGGTGTAAGATGCAAAAGAGAATAGTTTTCTGTTATTGAAAGTTAAGTTGTTTTGCACTTATAGAGGTTACTTGATACTGTTGTCTTTATCTCTAGTCCCTCAAGATAAAAGTTAAATCCAAGGTAATCTGTCTATCAAGGAAATAATAGAGAGTTTTGTTTTGTACTATACTTTGATTTCAACATGCTGATTCCAAAAGTCAAACGCTACTTTTGTTTGCAGCTTTGAAAAATCATAATATTGTTTTGCTATGCCCTGATCAGAAAATTTTGCCCAACCTAAAAAATATATTTTTTTTAAATCGGGACTTCTATATCAGCTCAAACAATACATTATCTATAATAATATAAAACACTTTGCGTAGTCTAAATTCAAATCCATATCTTGAAAACATTCCCAGATAACTGTAACAGTAAAGATTAGATCATAAGACAATTTTACAATTACAATTTAACTGTTTTGTGACATACACCCTAAGTAAGTTGTTTTTTATGTATACCTACTTGACAACATGATAACATTATATCACATTTTTTAACTTTCTTATCAACAAAAGCAATCTAATAAATAAAATATTTTGTGTACTATTAAAATATGGTCTACATAGAAAAAAAAAAAAAAAAAAAAAAAACAGCTTAAGCATGCAGATAAAAACCCAACAAATATTGGGTCATAAGTGAGACAGAGACAGGTTTGGTCCATGCATATCCAACAAATTTAGGAAGGTTTCGACATTTTGAATCACTTTCCCATGAGCATTTTGAGTTTCTCTCTTAGGCTCATATCATGTGAATGCTATTGCTGTCGCGCAGATGCCGTCGAGATAGCGCCCGAAAAAGGCCATATCATACAAGACGGCAAATGCGTTGATCCCTTTCCGCCTACGCCGGATGCCTGTCATATGTAGCCTCTTCTGGGCGCATTTGCAGTCGCGGCACTTATTTCCCAGATGGACACCATTCAGTTAGGTCGTGTAAGCTTTTTGCACATGATCGAAGAGTATTATCGGAAGAATCCAGGACGATAGGGAACCGAATTCCCAAGCATTGTGCCTTTAGTTGCCTGTTGCTATTATCACTCCACTTTATGTCGTACAAAGGAGGACATTTTTCAACTGTATAAATAATTTGTTCTGTGTCAAACGTGATTACTCCAAAAAGGTCTTCCAGTTGATGTGTCAGTAGACGGGGGGGGGGGGGGAAGGGTCCCGGTGACGCTAGCACTCCCTATGACAGGGTCCCCCCCGTCACTAGCACCGTGTCGCCAATGCGACCGTCCGCATTGGCAGCGCTCAGCGTCCAGCCTACGCGGATTCGCCAACGACATTAGCGTCCTTATGACTAGCTTCATAAAAACCCCATTGCCTGGTTAGAGCGGGATTACCGTGGCGGCAATAGCGCTCGTATGATATGATGGGCCTTAGAAAAAATGCTTCTTTGGTTATTTTATTTTGGAAAAAAACTTTTTGTGGTATGATTGATTCCTCCTAGTAGAGCCAAAACCTACTTAAGAGAAACAATATTTACTAATCCACTAACGTGGATAGATGGTGAGCAGCTGTTGGCGAAGCCAAAAACCTCGTATTTACATACAAAAACACTTTGATTTACCTTGGGAGTGTGGAAAGTGTCAGTCTTAGTTTGCAAAATGTAGTTGGGAGGCTGACTAGATGTCTCTACAATACACAACTGTCCTGGGTGTGGTTTATTCGGCTGCTTCACCAGATGTTGGGAGGAGAATGGGCGAGTGTCAGGCAGTGACGTCTGTAACATTATGTAAGGTTACAAAACTGTGCATTATACTTTTGAGGAAAAAACTAGACCAATATTTGTGTTCTTTAGCAACTCCTACTAAATTACTCCAGCAAAAATAAGTTATATCATTGCCTTTGGATACTGAAAGTTATACTAAAAGAGAGAGTTAAGTGGCTAATTGGGTAATTTAAAAAGGAATAGTTCAGCCAGCTTACTGAGAAAGACCACTCGTACCATCACTCAAGAATCACTCAGGTTCAATTGCTTCAGGGGCAATACACTGCCGGCGACTATCGCTCAGCTACTATAGCAAGAGTCGCTTCAGGCACAATGCACCGTTACTTACCTGAGGCAGTTGGCAGTCAAGGTAGGTGGCCAACAGATGTAACACGAGAGCCGAGTCAGTAGGCAGTGCTGGTGTCCACTCCTTGCCTTCCCACATACCTCCACTGCTCCAATGATATTCACTCATACACCCTCCCCTGGCCAGCTCTGTACAGAACAACAAGTCTTATTTTGAATGGAATTAAATTAAACACCTACGGTAATAGCTACCTCCCTATAGGGGAATTCTCTAAAATGAAACAAATCAACAACAAACGTACCTAACTAAAAAGCAATGCAATAAAAATATTCAGCATGGATTTTATTTATTGAATACATAAACAGACTTGACTGGTCGACTTTACCTTTGATCCTGGACACAACGTACTCCTGGTTCTGGGAGATCTCAAGGAAAGGCACGAGTCTTGCAAGACTGGGTACATTCAGCACCACCTGAGGTATCTGAGCAGTCTTCTTGAGCCGCTCCAGTCCGACCATTCCCACCGTCACGTCAACCAGACCTTGGGCGTGAAGAGCTGCGTCTACCTGCTTCATCTCACTGACTAACCTGCCTAGGATGGTCTGAGAGATCCACTGCGAGAGATGATTAAAATTTAACTCATGACACTGATATATACCTTTATTTTTATCAAGATAAATAAAGGCAGCTAAGAATAAACAATCAAGTCAGGGTAGATATAATTTCTGCAGAATCTTTGAAAATAGTCACACAGTTTTGGGGGAAATAATAAACAAGTCAGCTGAGAGCTCATTGGTTGAATTAGTACTCTCCTTACTATTTGAAAGTCTCCAGTTCGATCCTGAGAAAAGTCAGTAGTTTTTTGATGGTTTGAAACTGAAACTGGACCCAGCTGTCCTTGTTCATTGATTGAGCATTTCATAAATGGTTCAGGTTAAAGAAACATCTGATTTTAGTAACAAAACACAAGACTTCTCTGTTCTCAGTCATCCCCACTCAGCTATAGGGCCTCGTTTTCCTCGTCACTAATGGATGAGAACCTCTTTAGAGATGGAGTGGCGCGTGACGTCACTCTTCTCTTGAGGGATCACCATTACCGTAACGAGACGATATGATTCCATCGGTGTTTGTGGTGTAGTTGATAGCGTCTCGGACTGATGTTCTGGAGGTCTCCAGTTCCAATCCCGCCGGGGACGCTAACTTTTTGTCTAAGATTTTGCTTAGAATGTGAATACTTCTTAAATGTACATCTTTTGTTAGAATTTGAGGCATTTATAATTTTATTTATGAACAGAACTATTTTTTAAAATTAGTAAACCTTCATTCGATTTTTATCTTATTATTATTTTCTATATTATCAGCAAGTTTGGTTGGTTAGGTTAGGTTATGACAGTTTAATTTTATAATAAAAAAAAATTAAAATTATATTTATAATTAAAAAGTTAATTTTATAACTGAAAAATTATAAAATAAATTTTATGATTTTTTTAAATCAACGTGAGGGGCTCTCCTACATTCCCCCTCTTCTTCGTAGAAAAGGTTCTCATCAGTTCCGTTCCTGACGAGGAAAATGAGACGCTTGTCCCACTCAGCTTGCATTCAGATTTGGGTTGAAATACAAGCAGTTGCCATACCACCTCCATAAAAGTGATACAGTATTTAAAAATCAGAGACAAAATGATAATGTATGAAGTAGTGATGGACAAAACCCGAAACTTGAAAATTGTTTCAAAATTTTTTCATCTCAAAGCTTCGGGCGGGATTATACTAACGGGATATTTTCAAGACGAGATTAAAAAAAAAAAAAAATTAAAAAAATAAAATTTTAAACCAGATGCTTAAAGTTTTGGTTATTAATTTTGTTTTGTTAACTTTCAGGTTAATGATTCAGATAAATGTAAACTGGGTCAGGTGGAAAGTTTTTACAATGAGTCAACAGGATCAAGCACATTACTACTTTGCTTACCATTCGCAGATTGGCCGTCCACTCTGTCAACACCGTTGGGTTTATCTTAGTCCGTCGCCACACATCTGCATGTTGGTATGATGAGGGAGACCCAGTCTCATCCCCTGTACCCACTCCACTCTGGGTCTGTGCTGAAACATTCAATAAAGTGGTTAAAACAATTGCATGATAAATTCGCTCGAGTGAAAAATGTAAAAAAAAGTGAAAAGATCAGCTGTGTGTGATAACAAACAATCCAGCAGATTTTTTCTTGGCCTTAAGGCTGAAAAGTAATACTTAGCTAAAGCTTGCAAAGCATGTTTTGAATGTAGCCGTTTTTGCTGCAAACTTTATTTGAACTTAAACAAATATCGACATCCGACCATAAAAGATTAAAATATTTTATACAAGAAAACAATTAGTGATGAAACATTCAACATCCCGCCGCGCTAGTTAGCAACAGTTTTAAGTGTTGCAATGATGCGGCATTTTCTTTAAGCTTCCTCCCCTCCATTTCCAATCGAACTCACCCACCGAGTGGCTACGTCACGTCGTCGTCGGTTGTCGCCAGACTGCCCGCACTGGCTGTAGTCAGCACTGTCGGTGCCGCGTCGTCTGTTTACTAATGTGGTGTTTAGTTCTCTGATTGATTATTCATCCTGTTGTTTGTTAGTTATGCAAAGAGTCTAGTGCGAATTACTTGGAATGGATAACAAAAAGCAAAAGTAGACAGTGAAAATAGACAGTTTTTACCAGAGTGGACGGATCAGTATTTGTTTATACTTCCAAACAAAAGTGGAGCTGTGCCTGTGTGTTTGATATGTCAACAAACTGTATCTGTTGACAAGAGTTTGAATGTTAAACAACACTTTGAGACTAAACACAAGCCTTTTGATACAAAGTACCTATAGGAAGTGATCTTCGCAAGTCTAAGATTGAGAGTTTACGTTCAAACTACTTAGCTAGTACCCAGATATTAAATCGAACAATGTCTGCCCAAGAAAGATGTGCAGACTCTGTGCCCCCCGGAAACTTGTCTGGCCCGTGACAGTTTTATAGGAACTTGGAATGGATGGACCTTCATAAAATGTAATTGGTGATCACTGGTGTAAAACATAAAGCAGCAATTGACAGCAGCCCATTCTGTTGAAGGCTCAATTTAAATATGTTTTCTAACAATCTAAATTTAGTTTCAACTCTCAATCTATCCATAGATCTAAGCTCCAGAATGGAACTTGGTCCTGATTGTGCTTGGTTTAAAGACCCCAAATATGTGTGTTCTTTTTTAAAAATAATTTAAATCACAATAATAAACCTTTTTTTAGTCCAACAGTTAACCATAATCAAAGACCATCACCAGTTCATTGACACATGTGTAGAAAAGTATTTGGTCGTAAGTATAGAAAGTGTAAGGGATGAGTAAGGGGTAGGTATAAATATTTGTACAATGTGTTTCATTGTTAGCTGCAGTCATTCATCAGTTCTGATTGTGGCCAATCACAGTGCGACCGAATAAGAGATTTAACAGAATTGATAGGCAACGTCTTTAAGACTAAAACCAAGAATAACTATAATCCTTGGTACTGTAGTCTTAAACATGCCTATCAGCAAGCGAAGTTTCAAAAATTGTTATCACTGCCTCGTATGAAAATTTTGGAACTCTCACTACTGACTCAGTTGTGCAAATGTGTACGACCTTTCCCAAAGGGTTAGGAAGGAACCAGCTAGTAATTTTGAATTAATAAAAGAACATGGTGCTAGTGTAACAATGTAACTAGCTTGCTCGGTCACGACAGGACCGAAATTTACGGACAACCCTCGTTACTCTCAAATTTTAGTAACAACTGCTATTTTAACACACATTACCGAGAGAAACGGCAAGGATTTATTGGTCCATAAAACAAATACCTACCATGTTATGAGAATAATCAACTCATGGCTTTAATTAATTTTTTTACTTTTGTCGTTTTATTAAAGTTGAGTATCTTTAAGCGAATTTCCCATAAAGGGAATAAATGGTGATTTAGATACACCTGTCCTTATTTATCTCTCTGGTCCTTACCTCAAATTGAAACCAGCTATTATAAAAGATCTGCCATTAAGTAATCCTAAAATACATACATTGTTCGACCCCAGACATCCACCTTTTGTTACTACAAAGAGCAAAAGTCTGAAAATGTAATGAAAAGTAAGGAGCTTACCTGGAGAGATAGACATCTGGTAGGTACATCTACGCAGCAGTGGTGACACTTCAGTGGTTGTCCGAGACGCAGGGTGACACCAGAACCCACTCAGCATGTTGGAAGGCTGTTCCATACTGGTCTCTGTAGACAAAATGTTGCTAATATTTTATTCAAAACTAGCAGCTATACCCGTGCCTCGCAATGGGGTCAGTATGCAAAAGAGACAATGTTGGTTCTTTGAAAATGCCTCAAAAATGGTTGCACTCGAACACCATGTTCTTCCAAACCTTCTCAATTCTATTTACCTCTGAGTCTTCTTGATAAAGGTTGTTTAATGCCTGGAAACGGTTAGCCAGTTTGAGCTGAAAATCTTTCCTTACTTTTTCTTCTCCTAGCTTTTCAAAATTAATATTTGTTGAAGTTTTCTATTTTGTTTGTTTCTCTATCTTAATTCTCTATCGTAGATTGACTAGAATAAGGAATTGGTCTGACCACATCCTGTGTTCCTTATGCTACGTAAATTGGTGATATGACTACTGTCGAGTTAAAGAGGATACACTACTAAGGTTTAAATTACCTGGCTTCTGTCATCGATCCTCGGTAGTTTAGATGTGCCAGTAATAGGCATGAAACAGCTGTAGTTTCATAAAAAAAAGAGGATCGATGACAGAAGCCAGGTAATTTAAACCTTATTAGTGCTAATTTTAACGATCCAGAGGCCAACCATCATGAAAGGTAAAGAGGATAGATAGAGTACTCGAGTTTGAGCTTTTATTGCAACGTAACCAGTAGACTTAGAAAAATACAAGTTACATCATATTTTTACTAATTTATTTCTGCGTGTATGTGTGTGAGTTTCAAATTTTGTATGCAGTTTCAGCTCAGCCTTTCAGTGGGTTCAAGTTCATTCCATGTAATCCGTCCTGTATCCAAGGCATACTGTTGGTTTTTCATAACTTGGCGGTTTTCCGAGGTGAGTTGTTGGCCCGACGCTCAACCCCCACAAGCCCTTGGAGGACTCGGATTTGCTAACAACTCAGCAAAAGTTCCACACTCCTCATACATTAGGCATCCATAGAATGAAGGTGTCACAAGATCCTACAGTTGATACCACTTTATTTAGTTGTTGGAGGAAAATAGCATTAGGCTTAAGAGTAATTTTTGTTTGTATTGCAGTTGACTACGCAAAAAGTTCACAACACAAGTAACTTGAAACCTCTACAATGAGGCTTCTTCAGAAGGATGTTGTAGAAATGTGACCTTCTATTTAGAATCAAACTAAACCAGAGACAAACAAAATTAAACTGCCTGTTGTAACAGCATCTCTAGATATTGGAACTTCAACAATATTGACACTTACCCACAATAGAACTTCTCTCGAGAGTTTCATACTCCTTAAGATACTGGTTGAGCGAAGACTCGTCCTGGATGATCTCAGAGGTGGGAAGAATGGATGTTTCATAGGCCAGCGACGGGGACAACTTGTTGTGAAACAGCCAAGACAATCCTGATGAGTTGTTCAGGTTGCCTGACATCACACCTAACAAAAACCGTTACCATAAACTATTTGGAAAAATTTTAATAAGCCACAAGTAAGACATATTTTCCTAACTTAAACCTTCATTGGTTGAAAACTCTGTCAGTGATGGTAAAAATATTCTAAATAGTGTACAATTTTTTTGTCCCTTGTAGCTAAGATAGACTCTTTTACACTCAGTTAGGCCTGCTATCCAGAAAAAAGTCTCTGTAACAATACGGTAGGCATATGGACTACTTCAACTGAGCAAATCTTCAAAAGATTTACATAGCTTATTCCCTAGAAGGGTAAATAAACATTGTGTATGAAAGTAATATTACTTACTTTCTTTTGCTTTGATGAACCAAAGACATTTTGCTGATATACTTATGTATCTGCATTGTGCAATGGCCTTAACAAAGTGAGGTACCATTTTGGCTTTGTAAAAGATGTGAAAAACACTGATGGAAATAGAACATGTGGCTGGTTTTCGATGAGCAAAATCTGCTTTATTAGCCCAAAATGCTATCACTGTGTTGTGCTGCAGGCTGCAGTACAATAGACAATAATCTTTATTGGCATGTTCGTTGGGAACAGTACATGGGTCAGAATAATAACTAAAATTTGTGGATTTAATATGTAGCCTAGGTAAAGCTGGTTGTCAAGGAATTCTTTTTCTGAGTAGAATGGCCTTTCTAGTTGCCATGTTGTTAATTGGTTCTTGAAACGGTGAGTTTGTTCATTTCTAAGTTGTTCTGGTAGGTTGTTGAAATACAATCCCCCCTTCCCCCCTAAGACCCTTTGTAGGAAGTCTTAATTTTAAAGAAACTTAGATGGTGAGGTGGTATTGCAAAGCTTTAGGTGTTCTGTGTATTGTGATGGTGAATGTCTCTGTTTCTTGTTTGATTTGTGGAGATGGCATGGAGAATTGCCTCACGATGTCAGGTGAGGACTTTTAGTTCCTTAAATGCATCACGACTGCTACTTGATATTGAAGGTCTGCTAGACATCTTATAGCTCTTTTTTGGCGGATAAGGACTCTTTTTAGATAGCTGTTGGATGTACTTCCCCAGACCACCAGACCAAACCTGAGGTGTGACTCGACCAGGGCATGGTAGGCTGTTTTTGCAGTGTCCAGACCACCAACCTCCGTATTTGTTCACTTGACATAGTATCTTTTAGATGTTTGGGATTAAAGTATTTTACAGTTTAGTAGAAGCATTAAATTTAAAACCCTATGTGGAAAACTAGTTTGTTTATAAACAAGTTAAAGGAAATTACTAGCATCTTACTGACTTTGGTTAGGGAAGAGAGGAAATCAGTCAAAGAAGTTTGAGATGTTGCCATCTTCAGAGTGACTTCCGCACAGTTGACATAAATCACACTAGATAGCCTACACTTGACTTCTCTACACTTTACATACATAAGTGACCTTGCAAGATGGTTTGAAGTTTATAACTAACTTTTGTTATCAATCAATCAACTTCTTTATTTCATAAAATTTACAGATTGGTACATGAAATTGTGTCAACATAAGTTTTTTTATCTAGATCGCTAAAACTAGGGATTTTATTTTTTTTATCAAAGAAAGGAAATGCTTATACTTACTCTCATTGGGGTCGCCGCAGTGAGAGACTACAGAGCTGGAGAGCCAGCTGTTGGTAGACATGTTCAGTGGAGTTGTTGGAGAATCATACACCTGCTGTGGAGGCTTGACTGGCGTGGACGTTGCTGTCTTGAAGTAGTTGTCTACGACATCACAGAATGTGATAGGGTTACTTTGTTCACTTAACATAAGCCTTGCTCATATACCTAAGTTTGGGTAACTTTAATGAATTTGTTCTGTTCTTGTTTAATAGTTAGGACAATTTTAGATTTCATCAATAAGTACTGCACACAGGGTGTGCCCACTCCAACTTGAAGATGAAAATCATGGTCAGGCTATTCTACAGTTATTTACAATTATTTTTCCATATTTTTTTAGACATGATAAAGCTAACTTAATAATTTTTTTTAGGTAATATAACTTGGGCGCAGTACAGGCGGAATCGTGGTGGCATCGCTCAGCATAAAAAAATATTGTACAAAATTGACATAGAACTAAAAATTATGTTTATTAATGAATCATAGAATATGCCAAGATATTATCATAACTTTAGATTGGTTAACAAGAAATCTGATTCTGTGATTGTTATGGTACAAGCATTACAAGTCTCATGGGAGAATTTACTATCAATAAATTAAAACTCGTCCTTATCATCACACGTACATCAAATACCTACTTAAATAGAGGTGTTAAAAATATCAAAGCTATAATAATATAAGGCCTACATTTTACCTGAATCTTTAATACCCAGAAGTGTTTTTTGCCGAGGCGACAAAGCCACAGGCTGTAGGGTCAAATATGTCCAGAAGTAACGGCAAAAGTGAAACAGAGTGTTGAGGACAAGAATGACAGCAATGGTGCGTTCTATCATGTGTGCAGTCGGAGAATACAGCGGACAGGAGTAAACTCTAAAAATAAAAAAAAAACATTCCTTAGTTATCTTATGTTAGAGGAAAAACTACGGCTTACCAAGAGGTTAGGTAGGAGAGACAAAAATTAATTATTAACTTTAGAATAGAATGTCTATTTTACCATAGTGTAAAAAACTATAAAGTTTACTTACATATCATAAGCGATCACAGAGAGAATAGCAGCATTAATGAATCCCCAAAAAAGACTATCTCGCATTTTCCTAGTTTCCTTTGTTATAACCATTGTTTGTTCCATTTGCGGCATTGTTTTGCTTCTGAAGTAGGTGGGCGTAACTGGCGAACTCTGCATGATTCTGTCAGTAAAAATAGTCATATGTACAACACTAGTACAAATGTACCTAAAATATGAACCGTGCCCTCGTACCTGCACCCAGGCCAACGACTTGGAAGCGTGAATCCATGTGCAGGCCTGAGGAGCGGCTCACAAAAAGTGAGAACCATGGATGGAGGTTCAAGAACAACGCACTATTTGAGAGAAACGAGCTGTAATAACAATTTAAATGAACACAACAAACAATACATGAAACTCTAAAAAAAATTTAAATAATTTAGCTACCCATCTAAACACATTAGGTAATTATAGTTGAGCCGTGACTACTTTCCTCCGGCGAATGTCACGACTTAAATAGTCAATAGCTATGTCCACACTCGTGTCCTTTTTTTGTGTGTGCCAAGCGCCTGCCTCTTTATGCTTGCATTATTAACGCAGATGGAAGCAAGTGACGCATACGTCAAGGCATGCCCGAAATGAGTTGGAAGGAGCTCCATTCCATAGCGAACAGCGTAGAGCAAGACAATCCACCAGCCTTGAATATCTGTGCGTTTCAACTTGCAGCTTTACATTTTTGACTAGTCGTCCGTGTTGTAATTGTTTGAAGCATATTGAATAGGTAACTAAGAAAGCTCAGAATTCATAGAAGATTATCGCTCTCATGTATGTTTATGGGACATACGGATTAGTAAAATTAATTATAAAACAAATAATTTAATTAAAGTAAATAAAATTAATTTAAATTTAATTAAATCCATAAATAAATAAAATAAAATAAGAAACTTTTGAGTTTTGTAGTACTTATCCACATTTCCTGCCATGATTATTCCTTACGTTTTGGAACTCTTCTTAATACTAAAAATGCCGCACTATCCCTCCTATCAGAATAGCGTCGTCTTCACCCAATTAGGAAAAGTTATCTTGAAAGACCATTTTAATTTTTCTTCTATTCAGCTAGAAACATCTGATTAAACCAAGACTGTTACACAGTACAATTACTTACAATACAGTAAACTCCCTCTTATCCGGACTCCTTGGGACCGAGGCCAGTCCGGATAACGGATTCTCCGGTTAAACCGACGTCCCAAAAACTCGTTAAAACTGACTGTTTACTGTGATATTTGACTTAAATTTAGGAGATCATTGTGGTATCTAGGCACATGATTTTGATCACTGGTCTCAAATCTTTCCCACGAGAAATGTTGTTTCAGTACCGTCCACTTCCTGCCGATCTAGTCCGTTTAAACCAATGTGCTGATAAAAATTGTCCGGTTAAAGAGATGTCATTTCCGCCGAGTGTAGTCCGGTTAAACCGATGTCCGGATAAGAGGGAGTCTACTGTATGTGAAACTGTTTCAGTTCAGTTTCAAGCGACAAAATACAGTTGAATTTTTTAGTTCACGGGTATTATAATCATATAGTAGCCAACACAAAGTAGACTTCTTATCCCATTGTAATGTTTGAAGCTAACTTTTCATGTGTAGTTCATGTTAGTGATACTGGGCGCTAGTATCGACAACATTTTGTTTTTACTTTAGGGTTTATTTCATGATTTGTGCTTCACTGTTTGGTTAATAGCTAGGGGATGGGTGATTGTTTATGATTACAACTGAAACATACACACAAGTGTCCCCCCAGCTAAGTCACCTCAGCAGACATTTTCAGAAGCTGCCATAAGGAAATGAGCAAGTCAATTTCAATTACCCAAAACATTCTTTTTAGAGCAAAATTGCAACAAAGAGTCTAACTTAAATGAGTAAAAAAAAGTGATGCATAAATGTTCACTGTTGTTTGTTGACTTGTGGTAGTAAGTGCTTTTAAAACCAACTAGCCTTTAACCAAAGAATAAATTAGGCCTAATCTGTTGGTTTTAAATTAGAATTTAAAATTAACAAAAATACATTTAATGTCATTAGGCCCTACTGTATAACACTCACCTTTATTTAGGTTTTTGGTGAACACAGAAAATATAAATATGTTCCAGTAAAATCCTAACAGGCTACTCTTATTCTCAATCCTTTAATTAAAATAGTCTCTGGAGCAAGGCAGGTCTTCTATTTCGTATGTGTAGCCTACGACGTCAACCTGTATTGAACATGAAGTAGTCTGATGAGAAACATAAAAAAACTGTACTACAATAAGTCTCTAAAAAGTACTTAAAGTAGATTATTGGTTAGATAAGTTAGGCTTAACAGCTTCGTACAAAAGTGAAGGCAGCGTTGGCTCAAAAACTAAACTAATAGAATAACACTTTTTAAAATTTGTTAGACTAGGCCTTCAATCAAACCACAAAAGAAACTGAAACATTAAAAACTATTTCATACATTAAAAATTGCCAAGACAAATTAGGCTACAGCTGGATTGTACAGATTGTAAGTTATTAAACTTAAAAGGTAGATGTAGGTAGGTAGGTAGTGTTAGGTAAGTGTAGGTAGTATTTTAATTCTATTCTATGTTACAGTCACACGAGAGAAATTTATTTATTTATATTTTATAAAATTGGAGATGTCAGTTGGTAAGTTATGTAAAATAAAATAAAATGTACCTAGATATAACTAAGTTAGATAGATTATAATGTAGGTAGCCTATCACTATCTATAATGAATGACAGGTTAATACAAGGTTTAAATAAGTATACTTTAACTTTTACATTTTTTTAATTAGGAGGGGATTGGCAGCCTACACTTATAGTCTGTGAGGTTGGCGAAGGACTCTGAGGGATTAAAGTCCCTTCCACCAACACACGCGCACTCGCTAGCAGGGCCCTAGAGTGAAAATTTAAAAACGTACGTTTTCATGTCCCTGGCCTTTTACTTCGTAGATACTGGATTTGTAGTTTATTATTATGTGTTTTAATATTTTTTGGGACGGGGGCAACATGTTACACACATTTATTTGGTTTTAAATAGGTTCTAGGTATTTGTTTCGTATTTTTAAAGTCTCGAAATTCACGACCATGACGTGTCCCCAGGGTACATTTTCCAACTTTCACGCTGTTTTTAGATTAATTATTCATGCCGAAATATATAAAGCCATATTTTAAGGTCATCAATGGTTATTAAACTTACAAAAAAGTAGCATATTATAATTTGATTGTCATTGCAAACTGACTACCATGACAAAATAAGTCTGTCCCTTGATTTGGCGTCACGAACATTTGGGAAAAATTTTCAACTTTGGAGCACGACAGTGGCAAGCCTGGCGTCGATGGAGTCAGTTGGTTTTAGAGACTAGTTCGGGGTGTACGTCAGGATTGTAGTGCCGGTCGTTTCGAGTTGAAAGGAGGAATTACAAGATTAATAAAGGAAAGATTGTGTCTTTTGTAATTTTGGTGTGTCCATGACCGTACGTAGTCATTCGATGAAGTAGACATGGTGTTAATTTTTGTTTATAAGATATTTCAATTGCTAGATTAACCTAGAAGTTCACTTTGTATCCTCGAACATGAGGTGCAGGGCTACCGCCAGAACAGAGCCAAATAGCACGTAATTTCACGACCAAAGTTTCACGACCATCGCGGGTTTTTTCACGACCAATCCAGCCTTATGGATTATAGTGTGTTTGGTCGTGACAATAACTTTAATATAATTGTAATTTGAACAGTTTAGTTCAATTGAAACACTTATTTTTATTATAACTAACAGTATAATTGAAGGATTGTTTAGAAAGATTTAGATTATTTCAGAAATTTCACGACCGTACCGCTTGTCCCTGACCATCACGTTTATGATTTCTATCATAAAAATTTAAAATATCGTCATATTTCTATGTTTTATACCCAAAAGAAGCACAGCTCTATACAAACATAACGATTTTTCGGGTCTCAGGTAAGTTTTTTTGGAGTTATACAAATTTAAAAAGATTTTATTGGCTTTTTTTCAATTTTTTGAGTTTATTTATTTTTTTCTAGAAAGATCAAATATACCAAAAGCTCAGTGACCTTTTTATTGTATAATGGTCATAAAAGTAAATTAGTTTATAGCAAAACATAGTAATAAAAATAATATTAACTATTTTTAATATTCATTTAACCCTTTGAGTGCCAACGTCCGGGGAACCGGACGTTTTTAAAACGAGCCAAAAGTGCCAACGTCCGGCCGACCGGACGTTTTTAGAACGAGCCAAAAGTGCCAACGTCCGGCTGACCGGACGTTTCGTAATGATCGAACAGCTGTCATAACAACCGAATGGATACTCGGATTCTTTTAACCCATATATTAACATTGAGTCGAAAGTTACTAGATGCGATACATCGATTTTCGTTGGTCGAAATATCGAAAATTCGATTTTTACGAAATTTTAACCTAAAAATCGCCAGATCGCGCTCGGCACTTTTAGCGCGACCTTCGGGAAAAATCATCGGCATTTTTGAGCGTTACTTTTATTTCTCGCCTGGCACTCTAAGGGTTAAACGTCTGTTATGGTCGTGACAGGATTTTGTGTTTCTCCACTAAAGATGCTCTTTTTTTTTAAAAATACCAAAGATATTGCGTTACCATGGACATTTTATGAAACTTCAAATGTTAATTAAATAAAAATAATAATAAAAGTTTTGAAAAAAGGGGAAAAAAATTTGCAAAGTGCTTTTCCTGAAAACGTACGTTTTTAAATTTTCACTCCCTACCAACGCCAGTTTAACTTGTTGGGGGTGGTGGTGTTGTGTTAAGCTGCGCGCCCACTGGGTCGGTACGGTACAAGAATTTTTATAAGTTAAAAAAATTTAATTAAATGAGCATGCGCCCACTGCGTCGTCACGGCATTTCGGACCTTCAGGATGTCCGATAGAAAGTCTGGAGCTACGAACTCCAGGACACTTCCGTGACGGCAGATCTGTCCTAACTTATGAATGACTTACCAAGTTATTTTGTAAAAATATATCCTCAATAATAGAATACAAGTGCAAAGATCTAAAGAATGCAATATCTTACGGGAAAATGAAGCAACTGTCATCAACATAGCCTAACCTAAAAGATAGGCATGTGTGATGTATCCACAATTAACATGGCTTACCTTTACTAAAGCAGGTAGTTTTTTTATATCGATCAGTTAAATTAAATATACCTGTTTATGGCCATTCCAAGAGATTTAAAACTACCAATTAAATTATAATATGTATGTAAACGACACTACAAATACAGGGCCTAGCCTAACCTCCACTGCCTCCACTCCAATAATCCAAACAGAATTCATTTAATTTCAAATTGTTTTTTTTTTCTTTTTTTTTGGATGATTCGTAGATTCGATTTCGGTCGGTGAAAACTTGCAGTGTACATTGTGGTGTGTAGCTGTGCAACTCATCTGTGCATGCTTAGATTAAACAAGAACATAAATAAAACATAGTGTTGGTTAGTCTATGACATTGACAAGGGCTATTGCTAATATTGCTATTATTACCCACGGCCGCCTTTGTACTACCTCAATCACGGCCACCTAAATGCATCGTCGTAGGACAAAAAATTACACCAATGCATAATATCAACAACATATCAACCACTAACCAACACAAGTGCGTAGACTTATCATCTCATTGTAAATTTTGAAGCTCGTTTTTCGAGTCTAGTTCATGACCGGTGACACTGACCGCTATGTTTTATAGGATAATAGTTGATTATATAAAATAAACTTATTGTCAATTAAATTATTTAAGACAGTGACGTTTGATCAGGCAAGCACGAATTTAGACGTCAGAACTCCTGCGTGAATTATCTATCAACTGATTTTGTTAGTTTTTTTATGGACCATACAAATCATTAAATAGAGTTAGCTTCGTCAATCAGCTCATAGTAGTACTAGGTGGCGTTCGCAGAGGCATCCACAAAATTGAGCGGAGTCATCAAGGGTTCATATTATATTGTTTTTGTCTTACTGCAGTAAAAACAGTATTTTTTCATGCATGCGCTGCGGGTCTAAAGTAGCATTTTTAATATTTAGGGAGTAAAAATCGTTTTTAGCCTCTATGGAGTAAAAATCAGCTGTTGTCAACTCAGTTGTAAATTTCGATTGTAAACGATTGCATGTATCGAAAATATGTATCGATTTGTGCTTCGTAATCATTTTAACATATTACAGTCTACAGTCTCTTCCCGTAGCATTTTAGCATTGCAGATACATTAATCCATTCCCAAACTCAACACTGCTCACCTTTACTACTTCCTTCACCACACCCTACGTCGTGGTGAACATTACCATACATTAATTTAATTGCCAAAGACAGTTCCCACACTCTGCGCTTTTAGCCTTACTACTTCCTTCACCATTTACTACGTCATTGGCCTGTTTCCTTCCTTTCTCATAGCATTTAAGTATTACAAATTCATTTATCCATCTGCTCAAACGGTTCCCCCACTCTGCACTGCCAGCTTTTACTACTTCCTTCACCACTTACGTCGTGGACCTGTATTCATCGCTTTCCATAGCATTTTAGTATTTTAGATACGTTAATCTAATTGCAACAAACATCCCCACTGTCCGTACTGCTAGACTTTACTACTTCTTTCACAATTTCCTATGTCTTGGGCATGCTTCCATCCCTTCTCATAGCATTTCAGCATTGCAGATACATTAAAACTGCTACAAACGGTTTCCAGTTCCCACACTCCACACTGCTCACCTTACTACTTCTTTCACCTGTTTCTACGTCGCGGATCTGTTTCCCTCTCTTCCCATAGCATTTTAAGATTGCAGATACCTGAATCTAATCGTCATAAACAGATCCCACACTCCGAACAGCTCGCCTTTACTACTTCCTTCGCCACTTTCCACATCGCGGACCTGTTTCCCTCCCTTTCCGTAGCATTTTAGGAACGTTGTGACCTTAATCTAATCGTCATAAACAGTTTCCATACTCCAGACTGTTCACCTTTACTACTTCCTTAACCTCTTCATACGTCACGAACCTCAAGCTAGTGTCGTCATTTGATTATAGTACCTGGGGACCGAGCTTTGCTCAGGGAAAATCATTAGTTCACTCTGAAAGCACCGTAGTATTGGAGATGCATAAATCCACACATCTACATCCTACACAATTTCCTACGTCATGGATCTGTTTCCCTCCATTCCATTGCATTTAAAGATTGCAGATACCTTAATCTAAAAGTCATAAACAGTTCCCACACTCCGGACTGCTCGCCTTGACTACTTCCTTCACCACTTCCTACGTCGCGGACCTGTTTTCCTCCCTTCCCATAGCATTAGGATTGCAAATACCTTAATCTAATCGTCATAAACAGTTCCCACACTCCGGACAGCTCACCTTGACTACTTCCTTCATCACTTCCTACGTTGCGGACCTGTTTTCCTCCCTTCCCGTAGCATTTTAGGTTTGCTGATACCATAATCTAATTGTCATAAACATTTCAAACACTCCGGACAACTCGCCTAGACTACTTCCTTCACCACTTCCTACGTCGCGGACCTATTTTCCTCCCTTTCCATAGCATTTTAGAATTGCAAATACCTTAATCTAATCGTCATAAACAGTCCCCACACTCCGGACAGCTCACTTTGACTACTTCCTTCATCACTTCCTACGTCGCGGACCTGTTTTCCTCCCTTCCCGTAGCATTTTAGGTTTGCTGATACCTTAATCTAATTGTCATAAACATTTCCAACACTCCGCACAACTCGCCTAGACTACTTCCTTCACCACTTCCTACGTCGCGGACCTATTTTCCTCCCTTTCCATAGCATTTTAGGATTGCAAATACCTTAATCTAATCATCATAAACAGTTCCCACGCTCCAGACAGCTCGCCTTGACTACTTCCTTCACCACTTCTTACGTCACGGACCTGTTTCCCTCCCTTCCCATAGCATTTTAGGATTGCCCATACCCTTATCTAATCGCCATAAACAGTTCCCTCACTCCTGACAGCTCGCCTTGACTACTTCCTTCACCACTTCCTACGTCGCGGACCTGTTTCCCTCCCTTCCTATTGCACTTAAAGATTGCAGATACCTTATTCTAATCGTCATAAACAGTTCCCGCACTCCGGACTACTCGCCTTGACTACATCCTTCACCACTTCCTACGTCGCGGACCTGTTTTCCTCCCTTCCCATAGCATTTTAGGATTGCAGATACCCTAATCTTATCGTCATAAACAGTCCCCACACTCCGGACTGCTCGCATTTACTACTTCCTTCATCACTTCCTACGTCACGGACCTGTTTCCCTCTATTCCCATAGCATTTTATGATTGCCTATACTACTTCCTTCACCACTTCCTACGTCGCGGACCTGTTTTCCTCCCTTCCCATAGCATTTTAGGATTGCAGATACCCTAATCTTATCGTCATAAACAGTCCCCACACTCCGGACTGCTCGCATTTACTACTTCCTTCATCACTTCCTACGTCGCGGACCTGTTTCCCTCCCTTCCTATTGCACTTAAAGATTGCAGATACCCTAATCTTATCGTCATAAACAGTCCCCACACTCCGGACTGCTCGCATTTACTACTTCCTTCATCACTTCCTACGTCGCGGACCTGTTTCCCTCCCTTCCTATTGCACTTAAAGATTGCAGATACCTTATTCTAATCGTCATAAACATTTCCCGCACTCCGGACTACTCGCCTTGACTACTTCCTTCACCACTTCCTACGTCGCGGACCTGTTTTCCTCCCTTCCCATAGCATTAGGATTGCAAATACCTTAATCTAATCGTCATAAACAGTTCCCACACTCCGGACAGCTCACCTTGACTACTTCCTTCATCACTTCCTACGTTGCGGACCTGTTTTCCTCCCTTCCCGTAGCATTTTAGGTTTGCTGATACCATAATCTAATTGTCATAAACATTTCAAACACTCCGGACAACTCGCCTAGACTACTTCCTTCACCACTTCCTACGTCGCGGACCTATTTTCCTCCCTTTCCATAGCATTTTAAAATTGCAAATACCTTAATCTAATCGTCATAAACAGTCCCCACACTCCGGACAGCTCACCATGACTACTCCCTTCATCACTTCCTACGTCGCGGACCTGTTTTCCTCCCTTCCCGTAGCATTTTAGGTTTGCTGATACCTTAATCTAATTGTCATAAACATTTCCAACACTCCGCACAACTCGCCTAGACTACTTCCTTCACCACTTCCTACGTCGCGGACCTATTTTCCTCCCTTTCCATAGCATTTTAGGATTGCAAATACCTTAATCTAATCATCATAAACAGTTCCCACGCTCCAGACAGCTCGCCTTGACTACTTCCTTCACCACTTCTTACGTCACGGACCTGTTTCCCTCCCTTCCCATAGCATTTTAGGATTGCCCATACCCTTATCTAATCGCCATAAACAGTTCCCTCACTCCTGACAGCTCGCCTTGACTACTTCCTTCACCACTTCCTACGTCGCGGACCTGTTTCCCTCCCTTCCTATTGCACTTAAAGATTGCAGATACCTTATTCTAATCGTCATAAACAGTTCCCGCACTCCGGACTACTCGCCTTGACTACTTCCTTCACCACTTCCTACGTCGCGGACCTGTTTTCCTCCCTTCCCATAGCATTTTAGGATTGCAGATACCCTAATCTTATCGTCATAAACAGTCCCCACACTCCGGACTGCTCGCATTTACTACTTCCTTCATCACTTCCTACGTCACGGACCTGTTTCCCTCTATTCCCATAGAATTTTATGATTGCCTATACTACTTCCTTCACTACTTCCTACGTCACGGACCTGTTTCCTTCCCTTCCCATAGCATTTTAGGATTGCAGATACCTTAATGTATTCATCATAAACAGATCCTAGACTTCGCACTGCTACCCTTGACTACAATGTATCGAGTAATCTTAAGTATAATCTTTGCTCAATATTAACAAGTGATGTTTTTCCTTTTGTACTGTATTTGTAATTTCCTAGTATACTGTGGGTAGTTGGCTTATTATGAGCACATGCTAAAACTTCAAATCTTTTGTTTACTTTTTACTTGTTATTTAATTCAGCCAACATGGTTACCTAGCAACCCATAAGACTAATGTTAAAAAAATGTGATTTTCAGTTTCATTTTTCTACGGATTCCTGAGAGACTTTTTTAACGCTATATAGATGTTGGCACTCACCGATATGGTCTTTATCACCATGCAAAATTTGAAAACGATTGATTCAGCCGTCTAGGAGGAGTTTGCGTATTACGA